CCGCCAGACCCGCCGCCGCCGTCCGCCGGGCCTCCGCCGCCGCCGCTCGCCCGCCCCTGCTGCTGCGCGCCGCCCCCCGCGCCGCCGCCTCCCGGCGGCGGCCGCCGCCACAGGAACACGGCCCCGTCGTCGCCGCCGCATGCGACGACGCTGCAGCCCGGCGCCAGCGCGCCCCGCAGCTGCGTTGCCGCGTTGCGGTGTCCCTTGAACTTGACTGCCACGCCGTAGCCCTGCACCAGGCGCAGGCGGCTGTCGTTAGAGGTCACCAGCCACGAGCCAGGCTCGTCGGGGACCGCCAGTATGGACGTCACCTTGCGGCCGCCCGCGTGGTGGCCCCGCGCGTTGCGCACGTCCACCTGCGGCGTGCAGAGGGTGGCCGGGCGGCGAGGGCGCGCGCGGAGGGGCGGTCGGCGGCCGACGGGTAGGGGTGTGCGGGCGCGGGGGTGCGCAGGCGGTGCGCGGCCCAGCGCGAGCAGCGCAGCGGCCGCGGCAACAGGATGAAGCAGGCGCCGCCTGCCGCCGCCGGGCGCGGCGAACTTGGCGCGCCGCGGCCGCGCCTGGAGTGGCAGCTCCCCAGTGGGGCCGGGCCGGGGGCCCTACAAACCCACACAACCCGCGGCCCAGCTCTCACCCCCCCCCCCCAAACCCAATAAACAATCAACTCCTGATTAGAAAGGAGGCGCCCACCTGCGCCGCGTACTCGAGCTTGCGTCCGCCCTGCCCCAGCTCGTAGTAGCGCAGCTTCCCCCGCATCGTGCCCGCCACCACCCTGCTGCCCCCCGGCGAGAACGACACCGCGGTCACCATGTCCTGGGCGCGATGCAGGGGCCGCGGCGCGCGCGTGTGTGCGTGTGAGAGCGCGGAGCGCGCGTGCGTGTGCGCGGGGGCGCAAGCGCTGGCGCGGTCAGCCGTGGCCGACGGCGAGGCCGCTGGGGCGGGGCCCGCATTGCGGCGAGCGGCGAACAAACACCCCTTTCCCTCGCGCACGCGCGTCCCCGCGCATGCACACCCACACACGCACACGCACACAACACACACACGCGCGCACACACACACACACACACAGCCAGGCAAAAGGGGGCGATTAGCAGAGGGCGCCGTAAAGCGGCCGGCGCGGCTGCCGGCGCGGCTGCAGCGGCCCCATCGCGCCCCTACCCCGGCGCCCGCCCACACAGCCACAAGGACACAAAGGCACCGACGAGAGACACGTGCCCACCCACGACCCCTCCCCCCTTTCCCTCTGGCCCTTCTCTCACCTGGTGCAGCTGGCCCGAAGCGAGGACGGAGCCCTCCAGGACATCCCACACCCTCAGCTTGCCATCAATGGAGCCTGGGGCGGGGCAGGCGAGGGTGTGGTTTTGTGGCAGGGCTTTCGCATGACAGCGCCGCGCAGGGGGCAGGGCGGCACATGTGCAGCCCGCGCTCCGGCCGAGGTGGCGGCGCCGTGCGCGCTGACTGGACGCCGGCGGCGGGCTCTCTCGTGCGTCGCCCAACTCCGCAACGACGAAATGCTCGACCGTGTGCCCTGCGCGTCTCCCGCCTGCCGTCCCCCCGCCCCGCCTCCCCGCTGCCGGCGTGCCGGCGACGGCGCCAGCACGGGGCCCCCTTCAGCGCCAACACACACGCAGCGGCCAGCCCCGTGGCGTGCGCGCGCGACGCGCCGCCCGCCACCCGCGCGCTACCCACCGCTGACAAAGCGGTGCGCGTCAGTCGGGTGCGCCTGCACGCACGTCACAAAGTCCGAGTGCCTGAAGGACTTGAGGCAGTCCGGCTGCGTGAGGTGCCACAGCCGGACTGTGCAGTCCATAGAGGCGGTCAGGATGAACCCTGATGCAGACCAGGACAAGTCCAGTATGTCTCCACCGTGGCCATGGTACTCTCGGACTGGCCGCCGCGACAAGAAGGGACCCCACTCCACGTCCCGCGCCGCACGCGGCAGCTCGGCTCGCGGGCGCCGCCGCTGCTGCTGCTGCTGCTGCTGCTGCTGTTGCTGCTGCTCCTGCTGCTCCTGCTCCCCAGGCGCCGCCGCGACGATTGCGCCGGCCGGCCCCTCCGCCTCTGACGATGACTCACTCTCCGCG